CCTCTTGTGCTCTCTCTCTCTCTCAAATAAATAAATAAAATCTTAAAAAAAAATTAAAAAAAAAAAAGAGAAATTTTAATATAAAAGGGACTCCTTCTTCCCCTTCTCTTTTCCCAGAGAAAAGAATATTATAAGCCATTGGAAGTCATTTACATATTAGTATGAATTAGACAGCTTTTTCTTTTTGGGATTTTATAAGGAGAAAGAAGCACCTAAGGGGTAGGAGGAAGGGGGTGGTGTAATGGGGACAGGAAGGCACAGAATCAGCACACTGGGTGTTCTGAAAAAAAAACCTGTCACTTACTTTGTAATTTGTGTGTGAGGGAGAGTGGAACTAATAGCAGCAGTTTGGCAGAAGTGTGGGAGTCCATTATGGCCCCAAGTACCCATGTGCATCACCATCACTTGCCATCATCAACTACCTAGGCCACTGTCACTAGTTTCATGCACCCACACAGCATGGCCCCTCTACGGTGCAGCCTCATGCACCCAACTGAGCCCTGAGTGCTCTGCGGGCCTCCTCATGCACATAGCCAGGGCTCCGCATTCACGTCCCTCCTCCACATGCAGCCAGGACCAAGTGTAACTGTCCAGGTCCAACAGCATTTGCAAGTGTCAAGTTCACAAGAAACAATCCTTGCCTGGCTAGCTGTCAACGGAGGAGACAATGACATTAAGCATGACACACGCCCGCACACACTCCTATTTCTCAGGAAGGGTCAACCTCTCCATACACCAAACACAAAAGAGTGAGAGAGAGAAGGCGAGAAGGAGGGAAGGAGGAGGAAGGAACGAAGGAACTGGGAGGATGAGCAGAGGAGACCTGGTGGGTGAGCTGGGCCTCGGGATCAGAGGCCTCGCCCGCCAGGGCCGCCGTGGCCTGCATGCACACACAGCTATACCACATGCATGCAGACCGCTGCTGGGCCTGCCCGAGGGACAAACCCCACTCTAAAGCGACTGTAGCCAGTCACTCTGTTCCAATAGATCCCAGAGAGCCTCATGGGTCACTGCTCTTCCACTGCTCGCCCTCGGCTGGGGACTCCAGGTGGTCACTGCTCCTGTGTAACACGCACACGAGGTTGCTGTGGGTAAGTCTCAGTCTCATAGGGTCCTGGGGCACAGAGGACAGCCACACTCCCTCTTTCCTGCCCTGGGTCCTGAAAACATGGCACTCCCCTGACATCTCATGAGAACTCCTCCCTGATGTGATGGGTGGCTTTGGAAGCAGCTAAACTCAGGGACTCCCTGCTTTTGCTGTATCTTTCAAGTAGGGCTATGCCCTGGGGGCAGGGGAACCGTCTAAGAAATATGGGAAGACCCCCTGACAAACACTGATGGCAATAGTCCAGTGTCTGCTGGCCTCAACAGCCTATTCTGGAGAGAGCGAGAAGAGACCCTGAGGAGGGGCCAGATTCCTGGGGGTGTAGAGGCAAGAGCTAGGGATTCCTGGACCCACTTGAGCTTCTGGCTTCTCTGAGAGTTTGGAAGTTGGGGGCCTGGATTTGGACAAATGCTTTCCTTCAGTTCTTCCCCACTTCTCTCACTTCACACCCTCAGCCCGAGTCTCCTGAGTGGCCATGAAAGTGCCTCCCACAGCCACCTGTCTGTTGAGCAGGGAGAAGGATCCATCCCACCTGCAGGCTGGTCCCAGAACTTCCATGAGAGGCCAGCCCAGAGGCCCCAGGCCTGTGTCCCTCCTGGTCCCTTGTAGAGTGGGGTTCCTTTCAAACCAGCATAGCCTGTTTCCAGGCAAGTAGCAAAGGAGCTCTGGGGCTGTCGATGAGACACTGTCCTGCTGCCGATCACAGTGCCCAGACCTAGGTCTGTGTCAGGCAGCCTGGGACCTCCTTAGCCCTCTGCTCCTACTGAAATGAGGTGGGACAGGGCTTCTCTCGCCACTACATGTGAAGCCACACACATCGCAGGTAACCACGTGAGCAGCATACACCCCTCTGCACCCAAGCTGACACACAAACGCCTTTCATGAGCAATCACCCCCTACGAGGTCACCACCCAGGTGCCCACACAGACCTCTGCTGACGGAGACAAGCCCCCCATATATACACAGAGCAATATGCGCAGCAGAATGGCCCCTGGCCCGGGAAGGACTGGGACAACACTCACCGGGAAGAGGTGAAGAGAGACCCATTAACTCCTCCAAATGTGGACAGGGCAACGGAAATGGGCATGATCCAGGCCATGACCCCTAGGAGCTTCTCTCCGAATGTCTGGGAGAGAAAACAAGGGGATGAGCAGAAGAGGCAAGGTTACAACCCTCCACTTGTACATCACTGCTGAGAATGCTCCCTCCCATCTCTACCCTTGCTGAGTCTCTCTTATTAGGGTCCTCGAGGGTAGGATTGCGTTCCCCAGGCCCTCCTGCACCGCACCGCCACTTCCCTTCCCACCACACAGTGGAGATTTAGTAAATGTTTTGGGCTATTAACTGAAGGAGACAGTGCATGGTGGTAATAATAATAATAAGAACAACAACAACAATGACAATGATGTGCTAACATTTGTTCTCCTTGTTTTATGGATGAGGAAACTAAGGCACAAAGCAATTAGGTAGCTTGCCTAAGATCACAAACCCATAAAGTGGAGGGCCAGGACCAGAAGCCAGCTGAGGGAGTCCAGGCTTCACTTTACATTATACACTAATGAGTCAGGCAGGTTGGGGTTCAAATCTTAGCCCAACAGTTTGGATCTGTGAGACCTTGAGCAAGGTCCTTAATTTTTGAGCCTCAGTTTTCCTATCTGTAAAATAGAAATGGTTCCTAATTCATAGGGTGGAATTTCTAAATTCATAGAAATAATATAAGAAGGGAAAAATGATAAGAACAAGGCACTATGTAGGCTGAGAAAAAAAAGGTGGTGAAGCTATAGACTATCTTCCTATACTGAAGGAATGTAGAATGTTAAGGGACTAGCCTTTTCTATATTCTCTGAGCCAAGTACACACTCGATTTCTAGCACATTATCAGGGAGGGGTCGTTTAGAATGGATGTCCTGCTGGGTTAGGCCAGTGGTCATGGAAAAAGGCTGCCCTGGGACACTGGAGGGCCTCTTTCTTTACAGTCTTCTGACAGGAGACATGTGATGACAGTTTGGCAGGGTGGCGTCAGGGCCCAGGTGAAGCCAGGTAAGGGGGCTGCATGGCTCCCAGGGCTTTCCTGGGTATCAAAGACCCCAGTGCCTTGGATCTGCATCTCTTTCCCCAAAGAGCACAGACCATTCCTACTCCTGTTTACTGGCACACACTTTTCCCTGATGAGGGAAGGAGTCAGGCTGCATGATTTCCAGAGGAAGAAACGAAGGCAGAGAGGAATGGCGTTGTCTCGTGCAAGATTTTATCTTTCTGAGGAGGAGCCTGCCTCCTTTATACAATCATCACATTTAGAGTTTAAAGTGCCCCAGATCAGGAACTGGCAAAACTTTTTCTGTAAAGGGTCATACAGTAAGTAATGTAGCTTTGTGGGCAACACGTTGGTTCCGCCGTTGTCACCGTTCTAGGTACAACATGGCCGTCAGTTTGCTCCTGGGCACTTGGAGATACGGTTTCTGCCCTGAGAACTTGGGATGACTTCTAATTCCACAAATTCATGGATCAGGGAAAAGTGAGTGGGGCCAATCTGGCAAGTCTATGTCAACATTCCTGGTTTGAGGGGCTGTGAGTTTGATTTCTTACCACAGCGACTGCGTTTGAAGCCAGCAGCTCCTGGGGGGACATTGCAGTGACATAAGCGACATTGGCAAAGACATACACAAATGTGACCAGTGGGATGGAGATGAAGATGGCTCTGGGAAGGTTCCTGTAGAAGGAGAGGAGGTCAGAGAGGAAAGGCCTGGCACCTGCCTCATCACGGGGTTTGGGAAGTGCCTTGTCTTTCTGCTCCAAACTGACCTGGCAGCCTTTTGTGACACTCCCTCTCCCTGGGGGGTGGATTCTGTCTCAAAATGGGCAGGGCAATTTAAAGGAAATGAAACAGGGTAGGCTGGGAATATGCTCCATACCTGCTGACCTCTTCCTGACTGGACTCTCCATGATGCACCCCTCTCCCCTGCTTCAAGACACAAAGACCCTCCTGTCCTAAGACAGGTAAGTAAGATGCCTAGAGGCCTGTCGGTACATTTCATCCTCTAAGGCAGTGGTGCTATCTCAGCAGTTTCAGCTTTTAATCTGCTCGGGGACAGTCACGGGATTTTTCTCCTCCTGGCAGGGTAGATGGCAAATGGTTTAAGTTCCTGAGAAATAACTGTTTCTTCAGGATAGACCAGGTCATGGTCAGAACAGGGGCTGGAGATGGAGAAGTGCCCAGTGGACACCTGGCTCTCTCTTCTTAGTAGCAGGTGCCATGGCCTTTCAAGGGATTTGGGAAGAGCTGGGTCATTTCAACTCACTTGTAGGGATCAACAAGTTCCTCAGTCACGTAATTAAGAAAGTTCCAGCCTCCGTAGGCAAAGGAGCCCTGAAGGAAAGCCAGTGCGATAAGGCCGATGTCAGGTTCTTGGAAATTCTCAAATGCGTTCTTTGGTTCCAGCCAGAAATACTCTCCTGTGGACGCAAGGGGCAGGAGGCTGCTCAGAGAAAGAAGCCAGAGGCCTGGCGGCCTCTAGCCTGCCTAGTCCTGTCTCAGCTCCTCCTGCAGTGATGATCCAGCTCTTGTCTTGTTCCCAGTGAACCCCACACATTGGAGAAGTGGGACCAAAAGGAGCAGGGAAATAGAGATTAGGACTTCCCCAGAACCTAGGAACCAGGAGTCCAAATGCAGGCTCAGGTTCAAAGCACAGCTCTCAATCTTCTTTTAAAAGGCAAATTTACTTGGAAGGAAAGACCAGGGGAGGCCACTGGTCAGGGCAGGGTACAGTAAATCAGGGGTGTGTGTGGGGGTGGGGGGTGGGGGGAGCTGGGATTTGGAGATGCAGGATTAGAGCCATTGGCAGTCTCTTGACCACCTTCCTGTATATCTAAGTTTATACATTTCCACAAAGAAAGCATGAACAACAACAAACACTCAAACATAAGCTCCTATAATGCCATAGTAGTTCATGCTTGCTCTGCTTTCTTTGTCAATAACCTCCTGTCTCTTTCTAACGTATCTGGGCTCTCTCTTCATGCTATAGATTCCCTGAGGACAGGGTCCTTCAGCAAAGAGCTTTTCCACTGCCTCCCCAACCTTTAGCACAGTGTCCTGCACACAAGTGGGCCCTCAAGAAAGGTTGCTGATGACGTTGTAATGAAACAGAGAGTAACTGCCCATATTTTACTTAGTCATCTGTGATCCAGCATTTGGACAGGAAATAAGTAGATTAGAGTGATCAGGAGAAAGCATTAGGGCCAGAATAGTAGGGACTTATTATCTCTGAAAAGATAGCACAGTGGTTTCTTTCTTTCCTTTTTTTAGGGGAAAGCATGAACACAGTCCCCACTACCACAAATTATATAGTCCCATTTCTCACATTTGGGGAAATTGCAGGGGTCAACACATCCATAGTGCAATGGATAAGCCTCATCCTTGGAAAACCACTTTCATGATCATGGTATCTCCCCTACCAGGTAGATATACACAGTGATTTCTTTAAGTCTACACAATATTACCTGCTAAAGAACTTAACACAACTGGTTAAAATTAACAGCAGAACCTTAATTATGCTTCCTGGAGTAAATATCCAGGCACCCCACATGGCCTTCAGGGCTTCTAGGCAGGTAGGAGGTCTCTCTGTTTGTCATCTGACTTTCTCCAGGAGGCAGTGACACTGGGCAGAGCCTAGTGGTGCCATGGTTCCCATGGAAACCAAATACAGACTCAGACTTGGAAGGGACCAAATCCAGTGAGGAATGTTGGCAGGGGCCCCAGGAACGTCGAGCTCTCTCGTAGAGATTATGAGTAATTTTGAAATGCGTAAAAATCTCCTCTGTTCCCCATTTTAAGATATGAACAACATACAATATAAGATGCAGGGAGCTTCCCTGGGGATGGGGTAAGAGGGCAACAGGAGTCCAGAGATCTGGGGGCTTCACCTAGCTGTGCTAGAGCCAGGAGGTCAGCATGGGAGACCTGAACTCTGCAAACCAGGTGGGGCATGCTCAACTTCCAACCATCCCAGGAAAATGGTTTCTCTTCCCCTTTGTCAAGCAAGTGAAGAAGAAAAGTCATTCAAGGTCAGAATTGGGAAATCTCAGGGTGCACATGTCCAAAGACAGTGTGAGGGGGTGTGTACACGAAAGAGGCAGAAAGTTGGGTGAAGCCCTGTTGTTTGGGTGATACTCACCTTTGCAGATCTGGACAACTCCCATGATGATGATCAGGGCCAGGGCCAGGAGCTTCCCAGCTGTGAAAATGTCTTGAACCCGGGTGGCCCACCGCACACTGGCACAGTTGACCCATGTGAGGAGCACTGAAATGACAGACCCCCAAACATATCCTCAGGGCTATAATGAGGCTGTAGGAGGCCCTCTGAACAGAAGCAGAAATGCTTCTTGCTCCTGACAATGGGACTGTAACAGGCGAGCCAAATTTCCCTCAAGCCCAGCCCCAGTTTCCAGAAACTTTAGCTAGATTAATGGGTTACAAATGGGGATTACCTGCCACAAATTAGAGCTTGGTCAGAGCATGCCCTGCCCAGGGCTGGAAGCCAGAGGTAGGCATGGAAGTGAAGGCACTGGCTTTGAGGAAAATCAGCATATTACCAGGGTGCAAGTGTGGGCTTTGTTTCCAGGCCATTGTATGTTCAGGGGGAGCCCTGAGCAGCTGGTGGATCCTGAATGTCATCTTCCTCAGCCTGATTTTGGGGCAACAGAGGGTTAGGGGGAATCTTTTTTTTTCCCCTGTGGTATAATTTACATAGAGTAAAATTCATTTTTCTAAGTGTACAGTTTGATGAGATCTGACAAACGTATTCAGTTATTTAATCACTTCCACAGTGTTTATATGGAACATTTCCAACACTCCCGAAAGTTCTCTTTCTTGCACTTTGATCTCCTTTGAAGTCAGTCCCTTTCCCCTACCTCTGGCAACCACTAATTTGGTTTCTGTCCCTATATTTTGCCTTTTCCAAAATGTCACATGAACAGAATCATACAGTATGTAGCCTTTTGTGTCTGGTTTCTTTCACTTTACATGAAGCTTTGGAGATTCATTCATGTTGCTGTGTATATCAAGTCTGGTCCTTTTATTGTCACGTAGTACTCCATTTTATGTATTGGTTTTCTACTCACTGGCTGATGGACATCTGGGTTGCTCCCATTTTGGGGCTATTATGAATAAAGCTGCTATAAACACTTGCATAGAACTCTTTAAGTGGATTGTAGATGTCTTTGAGAAGGATTTTCCTTTCTCTTGAGTAAATACCCAGGAGTGAGATTCTGAGTCATAAGGTAAATTATAACTTTATTATTTTTTTTAAGATTTTGTTATTTTTAAAAGTAATCTCTAGGGACGCCTGGGTGGCTTAGTCAGTTAAGTGTCTGTGTTCAGCTCAGGTCATGACCCCAGGGTCCTGGGATCAAGTCCCACATTGGGCTCCCTGCTCAGTGGGGAGCCTGCTTCTCCCTCTCCCCCTCCCCCCAGCTCTCTCACTCTCTCTCTCAAATAAATAAATAAACAATCTTAAAAATAACAACAACAAAAAACCCCCACAAAGTGGCTATATCGTTAGCATTTCCACCAGCAATGTAGGTGAGTTCTGTTGCTATGAATCCTTTCAGCATTTGGTACTGTCAGCTCCAAAAGCTTGTCTATTCTAATAGCTGTGTAGTGGTATCTCATTGTGGTTTCAATTTGCATTTCCCTCGTGACTGATGATGTTGAGCATGTTTTCATGTGCTTATTGGCCACTATCCCTCTGTCTTCTTTGGTGGCATAGGGGCTCCCACAGAGATCCCAACAACATGGAACCTCCAAGGACTGGAGGAGAGCTCAAAGGCTGAATCCTAGGAGGGAGGGACTCCGTTTTACAGCCACACTCCCCAAGCAACCCAGGGAGCCTGTCCTGCAGGAATGGGACTCTCACCTTCCTGGTGCTTAGGAAGTCCTTGAGAACAAAGGGAAGAAGTTAAAATCCTCTTGTTTCCCCTTCCTCTGAAACAGTGACCAGGACGGCCCCCCCAGTCCTCCAAAGGTACAAGTCACACACGTAGAAGCACCAGACTTTCTTCTCAAGCTCTGGCCAGGCCTCTGACTTGAACAGTTGATCAAATTATATCAATACCTGATCTTTAAACTGTGTTTTTACTTTTCAAGTATTTTCTGACCTTACTTGATTCTGAGACCATTTCGACAGGGTAAAGACCTGATACTATTATCTATCTGTAACCTTTCTCCTCACACCATCTCTACTTGGCAAACTCCTTCTCATCTTTCAAGATCCAGCTCAAATGTCACCTGTTCTGTGAGTCTTTATTATTTTATTATTTTACTTATTCCTGACAATGTGGCTGCAAGGTAAGATACACCAGCCGCATTTTATAGACAAGGAACAAAGTTTGTCCCTTCTCTTTTCTCAGACCGCTTTGTTTATATTTAATTTTGGGCATTACTTCTTTGTATTATAATGATTTGTTTCTTTTTCTCTGTCTCCATGTAGACTAGGAGGGCAGGGACTATGACTTTTCATGCTTTTAATCCCAGGGCATCATTAATGCCTGCAAATAGTAGGTACTCAACAAATATTTAATACTTGGATACAGAAAATGCCCAATTCATTAGCCCTGCAATCTCATCTCAGTCTACACATTCTACAATGCACACAATCTCCCCTGCTCCCCAGGAATCTCATCAAAAGGAGACACGATCCCCAGTTGGTTGCACAGAGCCAAAAGAGCGACAGGAAACTTGACTTCAAACTCTTGACTCCTCATGGAGAAGCTGTTATCCAAGATGGTGTCATATAAGGAGAACCAAAACATGTTGTCAGAGGAAGGATTTTAAGTGCCTGAACAGGGAGAACATCTTGTAAATACTCGAATGTTCCAGATGGACTGAGACATTCTGATAAACACACATTTGGTTTATCTTACTCAATTCAAAAAGGATTTCAGGATCACATGCCTGGTGACAATCCAACCCAAATCACTCTAAGCAACAGGGCCTGTGATCTGTTTCTCCTCAGGGCCCTGAGGATTGCTAGGTACAAGGGTGGGCCCTCAGGTCCCAGGAGTTCAGGCAGACACAAGCAATGACTTAAGGATAAAGGAGATTGATTTATGAAAAGAAGATTAGGACACAAAACCCATGAGGCTCAGGGATAGGTAAGGATTACTGAACAAGGAACCAGATTGTGATCCCAGAGAAGAAAATTATCCTCTATCAAGGGGAGGGGAGGGCACGGTGGGGAGGTGACAGGAAAGTACTTGGAGGGAAATAAGGGATGAGCAGGACAACTCACAGACATTCTTCCCCAGCAGGTGGGGGGAATGTGGCCACCTCCTGGTGGGCTGGAATAGAAAACACAAAATCATCTATCTGCTTAGGAGAGGGACCTTGTCAAGGCAGTCAGATTCCTTCAGTCAGCTCCAGAATATTCCTGGGGGATGGGAGATATTTGAAGGAAGGGATAATTTGTCAAATAAACTTGCTGTGGGTGTCTTCTGTCCCACCTGACCTTATCTTCACAATTTCACAGGAACCCAGACCTTGACTAATATTTAACCTTTTACCTTTATAGAGCTCTTTCAGAAATAAAAAGAGAAATCCCGAGAATGGGGTGGGGAGACATTTTGCCTGTGACACTAATCTCCTTAAAACAATGGCTGCAGGCCCTCACATCTGACCCTTATCCCTACTGTTGGGTGATCACAGCATGTGACCGAGGGGAAAGAGGGCATTTTCAGTCTCCTGCTACCACAGGACAGCTTCCCTCACAGCAGGCTGAAACCTGAGCCTCCAAACAGAGAGGAAAGGTCAGTGAGTGAAGGCAACACTGTCAGGTGCTTGGCAAGCCCCTGCCCTGTTCAGGCATCCTGTCTCTGCCAGTCTGCTACCCAGAGCCCCTTTCTGTTGTTAATGGCTATGGCCCCTCTCTCTTCTCAGCCAGACCCTGCATTCTGCATGCTTGAGAAACAATGACCTCAGGGAAGCCACATGAAGATGGGGACCAGTGGCCACTGCAGCTTGAAATGTGAGGGTTTTCGTTCATCCATCCATTCATCTGTCCATCTGTCCAACCATCATCTACAAAGGGCCTACTGTGCTAGGCACTCTGGTAGGTGGGGGAGTTACAGGACACAAGTCCCTGTCCTCAGGAAGTTGAGAGCATAAGGTAAGGGAGATGGGTGAGAGCATAAAGTAAGGGAGATGGGTGAGCTAAAAAAAAGATGATCATGCAACAATGTGGTGACAGCAGAGCTCTTCACGGAAGCCAATGGGTATCCATGAGGAGCCCCGAACTTAGCCCAGGGGATTCAGAGGTGTGTCCTATAGGAGGGGGAGACCCTAACCAAAAGGAGAATTTTATAATTTATAATTTATAATCCCAGCTGGATAAAAGAAATAAGAAGGAAAAAGACTCTGGTTCTTGTCCACTGTAATCTGGCTGTGGAGTGGTTGCTGCTTCTCTAGAGGCCCCCATGGAATCTCGGGCTTATCTGTATTTCTTGGGCATTTTCTCCTCTTTCTCTTTTGTATCCTTTCTGTTTGCTGGGTTTAAAAAAAAAAAAGGTGAAAAGACTATCAAGACGATACTTCAAAAAGATGCTGAAGTCAGGGGTTGGTTACTTAATCTGCCAAGTTGGAAAAGGTGACAAGGTGACACCTTAATGTCAAGGTGACAGGAGGGATACAAAAAACAGGCAGGCAGGAGTAGGGGACTCAGAAGCCAGCAATCTTGTGACCTGCTCAGAGCCCAGGGCCCAGGGCCTCTCAGCTGCTGAATAGGAGAGGTGGGCTCAGTGCTCCCTGCCTGTGGGAAAGCTGAAAGACTGGCAGAGAGGTGCAGAGTCCTCAGATTGACGACAATGCAGATCCTGTCAATGACCTGGACAGAGGGTCAGAGTTAGAAAAAGAGACATGATGTCGGAAACAAAGGTCAGAGAGGGAGAGAGAAAAATTTGAAGAAGCCACGCTGTGGGCTTTGAAGATGGAAGAAGGGCCCATGAGCCAAAGAATGTAGGGGGGCTCTAGAAGCTGGAAAAGGAAAGGAAATAACTGTCCCCAGAACCTCCAGAAAGAACATAGCTTTGCTGTCACCTTGAGTTTAGGACTTCTGACCTCCAGAACTATAAGACACTAAATCTATGGTAATTTGTTATAGTAGCATTAGGGAATTAATACAGGGCCAGGCACCATACAGAAAGACCAGAAAGCAGGTGGCACACGCAGAAATAGCAAAATTTTTAAAGAGCAACCAGGCGGCACACCCCAGGACCCCAAAGGAGTGCCTGTCCACAGGCCTTGCAGGAC